TTTCAGCAACCTTATGAGTAGTACATTACAAATATATACGTGTATCGCGATATTTCAAATATCGTAGCGACTGAAACATGAGGCGGCCTGGTGCAACACATTCAGTTGCCTGAGAACATCATAAACGAGATTCAGCTGGGTTCCAGGTGAGTCGAAAGAACCAAATTAGTTTGCAGATAGGTGTTTTTAGCCTCGCCACAAAGGCGTCAGCGTCCAATTAGCTACAAGTTACTGACGACATACAAGTAGTGTGTACAAACGATAAAAATCTTACGACGTCCCCGATGCCTCTTGTTATACGTTGACAATCAGAGAACTAGTCGATACCAAGTCGTAATTAACATTGTGCAATGTGTCATGCGATATCCCATATCGATGTATGTTCCTAAGTAGTTTATTAACGACCACTTCCCAACTCCAAGTCAGTGTCCTGGGGCCAGAATTAAGGATAGGTGTACAGTTGAGACTACTCATCTGTATATGCATACAGGCCAACAAAAGCTGCTCGGCATGTTGAGTTGAATGTAATCATCGTGGGGAAAAGGAGTCACTACCTTTCGCCACCCAGTTAGCACCTTTGCAGAGATTTCCGCAGCATATCTGCACCCAGGTGCGGAAATGACCGCAGATTTCTGCACCCGGTTGCGGAAATGAAACAAGTTCTCGCACCCAATCCGCACGGGGATGCGGAAATAATGCAGACGTTTCCGCACCCAGGTGCGTAAAATCCGTACTCAGTACTGGAATTTCTGCACCCCGACCGCACTTAGCTAAAGTCACCCGACGCGCCAATATATTCAATTTTACGCATTTATTTCCTTCCCCAGTAAAATTCGGTAACTTCCTAGACACTACGCTCCCGTGCAGTGATAGCCCATCTACTCCCACATCATTCCTCAGCGTATTATCCTCCCGGATGTAAATAAGCGCTTTCAAGTACAAATGTCTTTATGAATGAATTTTGAAAAACACAATGGAAGAATCATTTGTCACACTTGGTGTCTCTCTTCAGGCGTTTCCGAACATTTTGCCGTTCGCTTCCCAGTCAGCGATGAGCGATTCCCTTTATTTGCCGTAGATTTGTGTTCGGAAATTTCACAGTTGTTGCATCTGTAACGAGAAAGATAGTTATTGAATTCATCCAGTCATTTGTTCAATTCACTAACTAAAAAGCAAATATTAAATACTTACAAATAAGTCCCTGGGGCAGCCTGGTTGTCCCGAAGGCTTCTTTTTCATTTATTCCGCGCAAATTGAGTAGAGCGAATAGCCTTGGTGCCAACATCCGAATAAGTATGTTGGTCAATCGCGCGTCGAATTGAACGCAGTCGAAAAAAAGATACTTTTGGGTGATGTGGGTTTGCGAATGAGGCCATCAGCCACTGGCGGGTGACGCAGCTTTGTTCATAAAGATGTCATTTTCTCGAAAAACTGACCCGACCACTGCAATTTGCTTGGCGGTCAACCCGCTGTCATTTTTCCGGTTAGAAACATGGTTTTTGCTGGTGGGCTTGTGAACCATGTCAGTGCAGTTCCTGGGTCGATCGGTTCGAACTTCAGTAATGTAGTTTCACCCCGCCGTTAAGTGACGAGGCCACGTCATACAGACCAGAGCTGTCTGCTCCTAAAAATTACTGCTAACCAGAATTAGATATTCGGACTTCAGATGAATAGGCTATATCGACCGATAACAAAAGTCGAGTCGATCTAAATAAACGAACATCACGCCGGCCGGCCACGGACCATACGAATGCAAGCCCTGGTTTGCTATCATATGAGCCAATCAGGATCGGACATTTTCAGCTCGCAGCCTCACGTCCCATCACGACTGCTCTAAACCGACACTCTGTAAGTTTCCACGTTAACCTTAGAAATAGAGTTATAGCCTTTCGCATAAGTTAATAGGCTGTACAAGACTTGCGTGTCTTCCGGTGTACCATATTGGAGGGACATGAAGATAAGGATCGACTTGGGAGATGCAGTATCGCCAATGAGAAGTAAAGACTGTCCAAAGCCCAAGCCAACTACATCAAGTTCTGCAGCGCAACTACAGGTATTGTTTCAACAGCAACGTGGACATTTTTAAGTGGCTCAACCTAAGTTTAGTGACTTTTCAGCGCACGTCATATCAGGGATCATGATGAAGAATGGAGGCACTCTATTCTACTGCAGACGTTGAATACTGAAATTTAATTTCTATGCTGAATCCGGAAAATCTTTCAAAGATTAGCTCAGGAACCGCCTGTGTTTAGTCTACGCCCAGAATCCAAATGTTGTTGCGGTAACTGGGGTCAACCGGGCATGGCAACTCTCTCCAGACGCCGTGAAGACCGTAGATCCACAGTTACCATGAAGACCCAAAATATTCGGTGAGCAATGCTCCTAACTGAATACTCCCTGCAACTGTTTAAATGTTGCCTAGAGTTATAATCCCAATTTTACGATAGAAGACCATAATAACTGCTCTGGGTTAGAAATAGGACTGTTCAAACAAAAGTGCTTTTATTAGTCGCATGTGCTGCCTGTCACAGGTTAGCACTATGTCTGTTCATTGATTCACGTACTAATTTTACCATCCGTGTGTGTTTTCCTCAGTTCTTCCTTCATTCTTCCTTTTACTACACTGCGTGACTTGTTGTGAACTGTGCATTGGTCCGCCACACGTGTCCTGCGATATACCAGTAACATTCGGGTGTAACTCGCCGCGAAGCCCAGGAGCGAATTTTTCCTCCGTTCTGACAGCATTTTGATCGCGATGCAACATCTCTATTTCTAGTTATCGCTCCAGCATCAATATACACTCCCATTTCCGACGAAGCTCTGGTCGATGAGGTTTCCGATGCGAGATCTATACGATTTCTCATGTGTGAACAACTCCAAGTTCCGGTAGTTCATGGGCCGCATTGGACCATACCAAAACATCCTCCCTTAACGGCGAGTCTAAAAGGCGTTCAAACATTCTGAAAGTACTGGTCGCCACCCACTAGAAACACACGAA